GGTACTGGGGAGGCTGAAGCATGAGGATTGCAAGTTTAAAGCCAGCCTGGGCAATTTAGTGAGATTCTGTCTTAAAATTAAAACGGCTTGGAATGTAGCTCAGTGGTACAGCATGCCGGGGGTTTAATCCCTCATACCACACATAAACACACACACACTCACATGCACACACACACACACACACGTGCACACATGATAGTATGCATAGAATATACACACATCCTTTCTTAGACTTCTTTTCCTTCTTTGGTGTGTGCATCTCAGCCACTTTCTTCATCACTGGGACCCAACACCAGGCACCCACAGCCAAAGGGAGGAGAGGTTTATTTTGTATCACATGCAGTATGGGCATGATGGGGAGAGCTGCTCCCAGCAGGGCATCCAGGAGGCAGTGAGAGCTGAGGGGAACTGGGAAGGAGACAGAGCCTTCCTGAGCACCCTACAGTGACCCCTCATCTGCCCAACAGCACCTCCCACCAGCACGTCCATCCACAAACTCGCTGGTGGACTGATCTGCACACATTCCTCATGCCTCCATGAGTGGTGAGCCACATCCATGAGCCACATCCCCAGAGACCTGTCTGTGAGCGCAGGAGGGTTGCGGGGTGGCATCCAAATGTAACATGGAGGTGCTAGGGATTGGGCCCCGGGCCTTTGCACTGAGCTGCACCCCTTAACTTTTTTTTTTTTGTCTTTTTGAGACAGGGTCTCATTATGCAGTTCAGGCTGGCCTTGAGCTCACTGTGTAGCCCAGGCTGGTCTCGAACTCGGAGCAACCCTCCTGCCTCAGCCTCCCGAGTGCTGGGATTACAGGCTTGTGCCACCACACCTGGCCACCCTTAGCATTTTTTTTTTTTTTTTTTTCTTTACCAGGAACCGAACTCATGACGTTGCGCTTGCCAGGCAGGTGCTTTGCCGCTGGAGCTAAATCCCCAGCCCTTTTTTTTTTTTTTTTAAATTTTGAGACAGGGTCTCGCTATGTTGCCCAGGCAGGACCTGAACTTTCAGTCCTCCCACCTTCACCTCTGGAGTAGCTGGGATTACAGGGTGCACCATCGCGCCTGGAAGCCTGTGCACTTCCAACGCTTGGGCTCAAAGGGTGCGGGAGGGGGCAAAGAAAGGAACTGAGCTGTGTTATGTACACGCGGCAACTCCACCCAGGAGTGTAAACATTAGGTGCCACAAACATAAATTAATAAAAAGGCCTCGTGCAGCGTGCGTGCTCTGCGGATGGTTGTTACACGGCCTTGCTTAGGGAAGGACAAGAAATAAAGCTTGTGCTTGTTCAGTGTGACCGCGGTGAGCAGGTCCTGTGAGCGGGCACTTGTGGGTACGGAGGCAGCCCCTGCAGCTCTGTGGTGTATAGGAGCATCGTGTCCGGGGAGTTTGGAGAACAGCTGTGAGCCAGTGTGGCTGGAGGGAGCGAGAAGGGTGAGAGAAGCCTGCACACGCCTGTCTTCCCAGCACTCTGGGAGGCTGAGGCAGGAGGACTGCAGATTCCAGCCCAGCCTGGACAACTTGGTCACTGAGCAAGAACCTGTCTCAAGATAAAAACTAAA